CCGTGTTAAAATTAGCTTTTGACCTGAAGCATTTTCACGAGCTAGCTGAGCAAATGGGCAAAATCAGTCGGGTTTCTATCTTCACGTGCAAACGCCGTGTTAAAATTAGCTTTTGACCTGGATCAAATTTTCACCCGCTATTACTAAACACTGCTTTGTTGACAGAACTGGTGGAATCGAAGACCACGAGCAACAGTAACAGCAGCTTTAGGACTATTACAATGGTAAGTAACAGAGTTGCACAATTTCTTGCCAAAGGAGATTCATCCTATTTTGTTTAGGCTTCACGTGTAGTAGTATTGTACGTTGTAGTTGCAAATTTTCACCCGCTATTACTAAACACTGCTTTGTCGACAGAACTGGTGGAATCAAAGACCACGAGCAACAGTAACAGCAGCTTTAGGACTATTACAATGGTAAGTAACAGAGTTGCACAATTTCTCGCCAAAGGAGATTCATCCTATTTTGTTTAGGCTTCACGTGTATCGTACGTTGTAGTCAACTTCATACAGACCCCCTTCGAACTCTAGCTTCAACTGAGTGACGACTGCAACAGCTGCAAAGCACATCCCATGCTTTCCTATCATTATATCTCTATTTCTCCCCTCTGTGTGATGAAAAGAAGCATTTAAAACATTAAAGACCTTCAGCCTCCCATTAATATTCTCGTGTCTTCCCCTTATTATGGACTTTTCTTTGCGTTGTTTGCTGTCTATCCCCTGGTTCGGCGTCTTTGCTTTCAGTGTTCCGCGAAGCCCACTATCAGCTTCCACCAATTCCCATTCCTCTAGTCTATTTGCAAGCTCACTATCAAAGATGCCCTTCTCTGACGTGCCAGCAGGAAATGGCCCGTTAATCCAAACAATATAACTGGTTTCGATGCAAATTCCAACTTCGTATCGTATTGCTGGACCATTGAACTTCTCAGAATACATGTCAGTGCTAAATGGATATGGCTCATAGCATGGACAGTCCGTCCAGTCTACAGATATCATACAGTCTGCTCTAGGCAAGTACTCCCCGTTTGATTGAGGTTGACCAAGGAATCTGTTTTCCCATACGATTACTTCGGTCTGAAGCTCAAAGATCTTCCTCACAAAGTACCAAGACCACTTTCGGAAGGTATCAGTATGGGGCCATCCCACTATAGAACAGTGGACCTCTTCCGATGTTGCATAAACTTTGAGGAATAGTAATCCCCATAGGAGGTGTTTTGGTTCAGCTGTTTCATCATCAAGTGTTGGCTCAATCCGATTCCACAAGTCCGCAATGACCGCGCTTGGTGCACCAAATAAACCGGCTATGCGGGCTGCCTTACCCTTATTATTCCATTCCCTGTGCACCGGCCATCGAATGATATCTCGTGCAATGTCTTCAATCATTACAGCATCCATTGTCGATGGTGCGACTGCTGTTGGTGCTTATTTTTGTGTTCTTTGGTGCTTCTTGCTGTGGCTGCTGCTGTTCTTGCTGCTGTAGTACGATGAAAAGCAGCACTTTATACTATTGCTGCTGCAAATACTACTGGTCGTACTAGTAATATCAATATATATGGGAGAGCACGCTTTCAAATTTTGGCTTAAAAAATTTAATTAACGTTCAGAGTGAAGTTCAATAAAATTTTATTTGAATTCAAAGAAAATGATAATTAAATTTGTTTAAAACGATAATTAAATTTAATTAACATGGTAATTAAATTTGCTCGCGCTATAAGAAAAGTTTTGTTTTTGGGGTTCCCCCTAAAAAAAGTTTACTAAATAAACCTCGTGCCAAACTGTTCTCAAAGAGGAGAACCATTCTTCTATGAGAATGACGTTGAAAAATTGTGCGCATGCGCGCAAAAGTGTTAAGTACAAAATTTCTTTCCCATTTAGTCTCAAGGACCGTTTTTAATGTGAATCGGTGGCTCTCCTGGTTTGTAGGATTTGACACTACCACTAGTAGAGAGATTAATTAAATTTTATTAATTGATATAATAGAGGTATATCAAATGAACTCTATT